GCTACCTACTCAGTAATATAGTAGCTATCTGCAGTAGTTATCTAGTTGTTGCCAGTTTCAGCCTGGTAGTTTCTGTATTTTTAATGCTCGTGAATTAACATGGTTATAGCAGCTGTACTGGAGTAAGCAAAGGCAGGGGACTGGATATGCATAAGAATACAATTGTTTCTTGATCCCTCATGCAAAACCTGGGCAAATTGGGTTGTGCAGAAGACCTTAAAGGTTTGAGAGGAAAGAAAGAATTCTATATTCAGGCTGTTGATTGGAAATAAGTGCATAAATAGTTTGCAATTGCTATCTGGGTTGATGGATTGTAATACTAACCACAAAGTATGAACACACTAGAAGAGAATTCAAACTAGATTTAAACAACAGTAAATCTAAATACAGTATATACCGTAAAACTTCATATACGATGCTACCGAGGGACATATCTAGTATCAGCATCAGATGCCAAAGTGTTCCACAAAGGTGAAAACTACCTGCATGCAAACATCTCTTTTGTAACTGGACAGCACTCACTGACCTGACCCAAAAGGCTAACTGATTCCTGCAAGTACCAGTCACTGAATCTGACTTCAGAAGGCACTAAAGTAGTGAGCTCATTCAGGGAAAGACAGGTGGGAAGTAGCATGTATCCATCACTTAACTGAGTTGTGCCACAGCTTGTCTTCAGTTCAAAAAATTGCAAAGATTCTGCATATTATTGTAAATAAAATAGATTTCCTGCCTCCTATCTTAATGTCAGTCTAGAATTTTATCTGGAAAACACATGCTGGCAATTTTGATGAAGAGAATTTGTAAGTGTTCTGCAGCATTCATTTCTGGGCAATGGCAAGAAAGCACAATGGGAAAGAAAATACAGAAACTAAGTAACAAAGCACTTCAAACCCAAATGCTTATCATACGAGAATTTGAAAGGTATTTGTTAGTTCTTGTCTACCCAGAAGCAGTTTGCCTACACTGAACACAAACTGCTATATACAGTTTTCTGTTGCAGTGCTGGGTAGTTTCCCTGGTCTGTGTTTAGAAACTGACCTGATCTTAGCCTCTGGTGTAAGAGTAGAGGCAAACCCTTTTATACAGGACAAAAAAATACAGTTGTCAGTCAATTCACAGGCTATTACTACAGAAACATTTCTGTACCTCTTCACTGCCACAGTACTGTAACTTCCGCTCTTTACACCATCTCTTTATAAAAAGCTCTCAAAACCACAATTCTTCAACTTTTCCATATGCTAAAGTTCTCCAACTCTTTCTCAGATTTAAATCAGGTGGTAAGCAAGAAACAAAACTTAAAAATCTGGATTAGTGTCCCCAACATGATGCAAACTGAGAATGTTTGTTCACTCAGTTACATGATGTAGTGACAGAGGTAGGACAGGACAGGACAGAACCCTAGGGTCCTCATTTTATATCAAGCTGTCTTTTAAAGTCAACGTGACTTACTAAAGCCACTATAAAAATATTTTGTAAAGCAGATTTGATTATGCCATAACAAAGGAAGGATAGCCACATCCCGCAGAAACACCTTTAGCCCCTCAAATGGAGACAGCAGGAGGAAAACCTTGCTAAGGGCTCAATCCACTGGACTGATTCCACGTCTACTGCAAGATACTTGGGAGATGCTCAGGTCTCAGGAAGGAGAATGGAGTTTCGTAAGAGCATGAAAGAGGGAGGCATCAATATAGTATTAAGCTGAGAACCCTCTGATCACCCTCAGAAACTATCAGGTTGTCAGCACCATCCACTCAGGGGTGCACTTCCTGTACAAAACATGCTAATAACATGTTACTACTGGACATCATGCTACAGCTTGTATCACATATCTGATTATTTCTGGAGCAGCCCATTCCAGCAGAGTTTCTGGCACAGAGTTGACATTTGTAGAAGTATGACTTGTTGCCAGGGAGAGGGCTGGATCCCCTTCCCACCTACATGCTCCCTTACATACGGAGCATAGCACTGCCAACACACTCCTGGCTAGTCTGTGCCACAGGGCTGTAGAATAACCTAATTCCATGCAATACTGGAAGATCCCCTGTTCTGCAGATGCAATCCCTCCCCAAATGTTAATGTTAAGAAGTAGGGAATTAAAGAGTCATCACGATGGAGAGAGAGAATCTTGCATGTAGCGATTTTAGTACTTGACAGCCACACAGAAAAACTTAACCCTGTGTGCTTGAACACACATCTTCATGTCTGGTTCACATCCTATCCACCAATTCTTATTACACACATCTAAACCACTTTATTTTTCACAGAGACCATGCCAAGGTATTAAAAAGCTGGGAAAAATATTTCTAATGGCTGTTTTTTAAAGAAGCATAGGCTGACTCCCAATGTTGAAGTTACAAGAGATACTGCTGCGCATCTTACATAAAAACATGGTATCATGTAATTTTCATCACTAAATATATGTTTTCTGACCAATGAAAAACTACATTGCCTCTGTGTGTTAAGGCGTACAGATTGGAAGGACTTACCACACTGTTTTCTGCTCAATTCAGTAAACCTACCAGAGGAATATTTCACAAGTTGCAATAATTCTGTTAAATAATTGAATACACGAAAATTAGATGGGTAGTATTTGTTTTATCTATGTTCTTGGAAGGAACTTTCATAGTAATTCCAAGGATAATCTAGTGCTTTAAAGATTAATGAATAATAAATTTACTTTTTTTCCCGGTACGTATTCCAAGTCTTTAACAAATGTTGTTTAGGGATTCCTAGAATGTTAACATGTTCTATCCTAACAAAACTGTCTATTTCCCAACTTCAGAATTCCAGAAATGGGATTTAATTGGCAAAACATATTTTAAAGTTACTTCACTTAGTTTAAATGTTCACAGGTACCTCTAGTTTTCATAAAGAATTAAGTCCCAAATGGTTAAGATTTTACATTCAGAAACAGCTGTAATAAAGAGTTCTGTGTCCTGGTTGTATATTTAAAATTCTCAACTAACAAGCAGGAGAGAGGCTGCTAGGAATGCTTACAGATGTCTGATTTTACAAGGTTTGGGGTCGTTGAGGTTTTTTTTGCTAAAGTGCTTTAGTCTAATGTTATTTATTGTTTATGGAAGTTGTTTGTCATTTAAGACATGAAGTGACCACTCCCCCAGAAGAAAGAATCAAGTTACAATCCATTATTTAATTTTTGATTGTTTTTCTTTGTAATAGGTGGGAAAGTGGATCCTGGATAAAAGTTCTGCCCAAGACAAGACTCCAAGCTGAAGACTCCAATTATCTATAAATCACTTCTATTTCCTGCAGAGAAAAAGGAGGGAAGAGCGAGACAGAAAAACAGAGACAGAGGATATATGGCCAAAGTGAAATATTTGATACCTGTCCTAAAATAAATTTCTCTTAAAAGCAACCAGGACTTACCTGACATCTCAAAACCAAGCTTAGAAGAAACATGTTGCCATTGGTTTTGGCTTAATATTGAAATAAAATAACTTTAACTTGTTCCATTAGTATAAAATGTGTAACATCTTACATATGTCTGAGATGATGGCATTATATATTCTGAATTATTAAAGGTTACTATCCAGCTTACGTTCTCACAGATAGGAAGATATGATTGCTGACGACTCTTACATTTTTCAAAGATTTTTAGAACCAATTCTCCAGTTTTAGAACAGAGAAATGCAAGGACACTTACTATGCAAACTGACTGTGATACTACTCTCAAGTATTATCCACTGAACACTCCGGAAGCATTTTACACAGAAACCAGCAATAAACAAAATTCATGCCAAACACTATTTGCGCAGTATGATTGCTCCAAAGTGTAACACCACACAAATCAAATAACTACATTCCATATTTATTTAACTATTTTCAAAGAAATTACATGCAAGAAACCATATGCATCTTTTAATTTGCATATTGCAGTTTGCATTAAAATGTAATGAAATCTAAAATAGTTGTTTCAGAGGAAAGTCATTCTCCTAGAACATGGAATTGCTGTAACAAATTAGAGGACAAATTACTTTTGGCACCCGCTTAAAAAAGAGAAAAGATGAAAAGCTTTTAAAGTGATGATATGGAGGAAAAAATTAGACTACATCAGCCAAAATGAGTTTCCTATCAGCTTTAAAGCTCCTGAAGTTGTATTTCCAGTAGATAAAAATGTTATCACCTTTTCCCAGTGCTGATGTGCTTATTTTCCTACTAAGTTACTTGGTAATTAGAAACAAAGTCTGACACATTGTAATCTGTTTATACATTTGAAACGTCTCCAACAGAAATGAAAACATTTTTTAACTAAAGATGCAAAGATTCAAAATATATAAATGAACTTAAAAATTCAAATTGCGTTTACAAACAAATGACTGTTCTTAAAGCCCATTTTAATAGACAAAAACAATTTAGTCCCATAATACACCATAGAAAACCAGCAGATTTTTCTACATTGACCTCCTCTTTATGAAAATTAATCTTAAAGGTTAGTGGGAAAAAATATGCCCCCTTGCAATATCGTTCAAAGGTATATTCAAATATCATGGAAGTTAGCTGAGAGACCTGTTCCAGTGCTGCAACAACCTGGTACTATTAAGAGTCCTCCAGGAATTGTAAAAGAGTCCCTTGGGCACACAGGGTAATTCAAGAAAGAAAACATTTTTATTTTCTGATTGAGATATACAGGTACGTATAGTAACTTCCTCTGAAGTACATCAAAAGCAACTGAAACATGTTTGAGAACTACTGATTTTGCACTGAAAATAAACCCCAACAGCTCTGTAGAAAATACTTATGTTTAAAGAAAAGTGGTAAAGCCAGTCCCAACAGATCTAATTTGTTCTTCTATTATCCTATGTTTTTTTCAGATAATTACAGGGTAAAAATCTGTTTCCTTTATTACAGACTCAAGGCAGTCTTAGTAGTTTTTTATCTCTACACTCAAGTTAGGGCAGAATGAAACGGATTTAAGTAAAATCCCTCCTTTGGAGGGAAAGCCATGAATTTCCCTGCCAGAACAAACGAACACAACTTACCTTGGTGTATTTGATTTCAAGGTTGAGAGTGGGAGAAGGCAGCAGATGCAGAGATGCCATCAGAGCTGCAGGATCTGCCTTCACCTCCCCTGGCATCTCAATTTTACTGGAAGTCATAGTCTC